GGCAGCTTCGGCCACAACAACCCCGACGTCGCCAAAGCCACCGGCATCGTGAGTGTCCGGAGCCCCAGCCCCGTCACCTTGTCCTGTCCCCTGCTCCCAGCCCCTGCCTGCGGTTCCTGGACCTCCCTCTCTGGTCTCCCCGGCTCTCCTCCCCGCCACGGGCCTCTGCTCCTACCTCCTCTCGATCCCCGCACTCAGCCTTTGCCCCACGTCTTGCCTAGCTGCAGGGTTGCCCGTCGCAGAGCTGCGGGGCCCTGGGATGCCAGCTCCGAGCCCCCCGCCGCCCTGGCTCAGCCCCACAGGCAGGTCCCTCTGTCCCACCTCCCTCATAGCATCACAAGCTCCCACCTGTAAGCAGCCAGTGGCTCCGTGGGACGCATGGAGGGCCCCTCTGGGTGCAGCCTGGCTCTGCTCCCCGCATCGAAGCAGCCCTCTCCTCCGCCAGCAGATCCGGGCTTTATGCTCTCTGCCACCCAGGGCTGCCTCAGCACCCTCCTGCAAGTCCATAGGCCACCTAGACATGCACTCGGGCCCTGCCACGTCTGGGGACACCCATGGCATCTTCCCTGCAGGCAAGATCCAGCCCCCGCCCCCAGCTGCAGCCTTCAGCAGAAGGGCTGTGTGGCCCAGTGGGTGGGAGGCAGGCCTCTGGGGTACCTCTCCCAGCTCTGCCACTGGCTCACTATCACTTTGTGCCTCAGTTTCCCCATGATGTGGGGGAGCATCCGTCATGCTTCAGGGCCAGGGGGTGGCTTATCCGTGCTGTGCAATGCCCAGACCCCCTCTGCAAAGGGGAGCAGAGGGTGCTGGTGTTTGATTCCCTGCCTCTGGAGAGAGTGGGACTGCAGGGGCTGGGTTCGAGGCCCCTTGCCGACTCCCTCCCCTGGCTGGACTTCAGGGAGGGCGGATGGAGCATGAGGCTGTACCTGAACGCCCCTGGCTCCGAGCGGAGCCTGCGCCAAGCACGGTGACACCGCTTCTCCGCTCTGGGTCCCACTGATGGCTTTGGCTGAGCCTCCCCCCCAGTTGCACCCGTGAGGTCCAGCTCCCAAACCCTGGCCCGCAAGAGGAAGGATGCCTGCATTAGCTCCATCCCGGTCCCTCCAGTGCACGGGCACGGGGAGCCGGGTGCTGAAGGACTCAGGCCCTTCCCTCTCTGTGCATCGTGTGGATAAAGTTCCCTGGAGGGCTTGCCAGGCCCCGCTAGCTCTCGCTGCGGTGCACGCGACCCCAGGGCTGTCTGGAAGAGACACCAGAAATGCCGTTCCCAATAGGAAGAAAGCAGGGACGGAGCCACTCGGGGCAGCTTCCTCCCCACGCCGTTCCCCCTGCGCCTCACTGCCTTGCCCCGTCTCACAGCTGTTTTGCCCCCCATGCCCTCTCCATCACCCCAGCAGCGCATGCCCTACCCGCAGCACCTCCCACGGGCTTCCCGTGAAAGCCAGCCCCCAGGGATACCCCACACAGGTACAGTATGTCCCCCGCGAGTCCGCTGCCTCCCTGCCCCATCCCCAGGCCTGGACAGGGCAGGTCACGCCATGGTGCTATTGATGAAGCCATTGTTATGATGATCAAGCCTTTTTTTTTTTGCATGACTCTCTCTTCTTTTTTTTCCTCTCTCTTTCTCTCTCTCCTCCCTCCCCACCCCCCACCTTGTCCATCTCCCCATGCCCCATCTCTCTCGCTTCCTCTCCACTGCTCTCCTCTATCCGCTTGCCAGTCATTGCTTGTCCCTGGGAAAACGCCAAGTAGGTACGGACGTCGAGGCAGCGCCATAGGGATAGGAACCATAGAAGAGGTTGATGTCTCTCTCTCTCAATCTCTCTCTCTTCCCCGCTCTCTCCTGCCGCCTCATCCCTGCTGCCCCCTGCTCTGGAGCTGCCGCGTTGCATGCAGTGGGGGTCTCGGCGAGGAACCGGACCATACTGGGAACACTTTTCCCCGTCCTCTGTCACATGTGGCCTTGGTGCTGGGGTGGGAGATGGGGCGTTGGCCTGCCCAGCCCTGGCCGGGACCCTTGCACCCCTGGGCACCAGGGCTTTCCACAAGCCATGGTCCCATCACGCCCCTGCCACATTCGGCGCTTGGCTTCACTGCAGAGTCACCTCCGATCCTAGCTCGAGTTTGCTCCTCGCACTTGTGGGTCCCCAGCAACAGCCACAGGGCACCAGGCAGCCACAGCTAACGTGGCCACTGCCGTGGGGGCCTCCAGTGCCTTCCCTTTCCCCGCTGTGTGCCCAGAAAGGGCAGACACGTTCTCCCACCGGTCCCAGACCGTGAGGAGCAGTGTGGCCAGCACCCCCCGCCCCAGTATTCCCAGTATTGTCCCAGCGTGTTCCCAGTATCGTCCTCTTCTGCCGTGGCCGGGGGTTCACGTCGAGTCTGTCTGCAAACGGACTCACTGAGAGTCCTCCTGTGCCCCAGCTGGCCTTGCGCCCCCCCACCCCCCCGCTTGATGCATTCAGATCTGCATGAGGGCGGTGACCCCACACTGGCTCCCACCCCCCTCCTTTGCTCCCACTCCCACCCCCCCGGAGAGTCGCCAGCACTGAAGCTTGATCCCTCAGGGCGCAGCATGGGTGGCCCCGTCCTCTTTGCTCGGTGCCTTCCTGAGCTGACTGGTAGCCAGGCCAGTGGTTAGAGCCAGGGCCAGACTCCCAGGTGCTGCTCCCGGCTGTGCCGTGCGGTCGCAGAGCAGGGAGGCACCGCAGCCGCCTCCTCCATAGAGCAGGGCCTTTCTCCCGGGGAGGTCCTGGGGCAGGGGTGCCACAGCCCCACACAGGGTTTGCAGAGGGCTCTGGCTGCTACTGCCCATGTTGGAGCAGCCCCCACTGCCCTAGCCAGACCCCAGAGCTATCAGCACCTCCTCCCGGGGTCTGACCCCCTTTCTGCTGCACCTCCACCCTTGGGGCTGGCAGGTTCCCGGCCTGAGGCCACGTCCTCCAAGATGCCATGTGTCCTTCATGCACGTTGGGCCAAGAAGCTGTCCCGCTCCCATCACGCCTCTCCCAGCCCAGCCTGCAGCCCCTCGCGATGCCATGCTATAGGGAGGGGGGAGCCCTGCCCCGGGGCACAGCCATGCTCCCTTGCAGAGAGGGCAAAAGCATGGCCATGCTCCCCCACCTTCCCAAGGGCTGATCCCAGCTGCACCAGTAGAAGTGGGGGTTTTAGGTGGATGCTTACTGGGACAGACATGCCCAGAGCTGGCTGCATCTCATGCTGGCACCTGGGCACTGGATGCCCTGATTAGGCAGGCGACACAGGTCCCGGTGCAAATGCCCCAGGGGACCTGCATAGTCGCCGGTGGCCTGTCTCCAGGATCCAGACCTGTTTGTCCTTGCTCCCAACCTGGTTTACCCACCCCGGAGCGCGGGCCCCTGTACGTCTGTGTGCACGTGTGTGCGGACAGCGGTGGGGGTCCTCTGGAAGCCCGGCTGGCGGGCGGTCCCGGCTGTCGGCGGGGCTCTCTTACCAATGAGACCGACTTTCTTCCAGTCGCTGATTGTTCCCGGGAAGAGCCCGACGCGGAAGAAATCGGGGCCCTTCAGCTCCCGGAGAAGCAGCGCCATCGGCATCGAGAACATCCAGGAGGTGCAGGAGAAGAGGTGGGTGGAGGCAGGGGCACGTTGGCTCATTGGAGCAGATGAAGGGTGCGGACCCTGCTCAGTCGTGGGGAAAATGGGGGTGATGGGAGCAGCTCTGCCACGTGCCGGCTGCGAGATGGAGCAGCGCTGAAACCAGGCTGAGATGCAGTGCTGGCAGCTCCGGGTGGGCCTGATCGCTAGCATCCCCCCCCGGGCCTGTTTGTGCCTCGCAGGGAGAGCCCGACAGGGACCCAGAAGACCCCGGACAGCGGCCACGTCTCCCAGGAGCCTAAATCCGAGGACTCGTCTAACCAGAGCTCTCCGGAGATGCCCACCACCAAGAACAGGTGAGCTCCCCCGGGCACGGAGAGGTGAAGGGGAGCTGGCCCCTTTAGGTGGGCTTTGCAGGAGGACAGGGACCTGTGTGACGTTGGCCGGGTCCAGAGACCCTGGGAACAGGTCGCCTGGCTCCAGGATGCCACCCGTGACCCTGCAGCCTTTGAAAAACCAGCAAACCCCCTGATCGAAGCATTCTCATGCCGCAAGCTGGCCGCAGGCCTCCTCCCTGCAAAGCTGGCCCCGCAGCAGCTGGCATTTCCTTTGGTGACCGGTGCGAAGGTGCAAGAAGCCCTGAAATGGCCCATCTACACCTCTCTGGGGAGCGGGCTAATCTCCTTGCCAAGGGCAGCCTTTCTGGACAGCGCAAGGTCTCTGGGGTGGGGAGCTGCAGGCAGAAGAGCCCTGCCGGAGGGTGTGCCCGGGCAGGGGCGGTGGCGCCTGACCGCTGCGTCTCTCCAGGGTGGAGGCCCTCGCTCAAAAGTCCGACGCGCTGCGGGATTTCTCCCGCTCCTCGTCCAGCGCCAGCAGCTTCGGCAGCGTGGTGGAGGAGAACGAGGGCGGCAACGACGACGACACTGGCATGGTAACAGCCCCTGGGGGCAGGGGAGGAGGCTTCTCCCCCGGCGTGGGGCACAGCCCTCCCGAACGGCGCTTACTGGGTGACACAAGTCTCATCCGGCCTCTCCACGGCTGCGGGCATTGGGGAGGGAGTCTCTCGGCCCCCACCCATGGCGCTCCGGTCAGGGGGCATTTCCCTCACCCCCCTGCCCCCCATTGTGTGCCACAGGAAAGCCAGTCCTCCTCGGGGACCCCACACAAGCGAGACTCCTTCATCTACAGCACCTGGCTGGATGACAGCCTCAGCACCGCCAGCGGGGGCAGCTCTCCAGGTATCGGCGCGGCACGGCGCGGCGCGGCATGGCGTCGGGGCGCGGGCCCAGCTCCGAGACAGCTCCCAGCAGGGGACACAGCAGGGGACACAGGGTCTCCGCCACTCGCACTTTCCATCCCCCTTTCCCTGTCCCCTCTGCTTTCTGCTCCTTGTCCTGTGCTCCTCGCCTGATCTGCTGCTCTTTTTTCTGCTCCCTGCCCTCTCTGCGGCTATGTTGCCTCTCCTCTCCCTGGTTAGCCGTGTCTGCTTCTGGCCACCTCTGCTGCAGGGCATTTGCCACCAGGCCCCACGCTAATTGTGGCTGGCTCAGCACCCCCAGGGGCACTGCGGTCAGGCTGGCACTGAGCCCACAGCATCCCCTAGCCACAACAGGCCCGATCCTGCTCTACCAATCGGGTACCGTTGTGTGATCCTATTGCAGCCCGCTTGAGTCCGAGAAGCTGTTAAAGCCCAAGGTGGGTGAGAGCTCCTTGCAGCTTTCTGGACAATAACAACGTGATGCCTTAGTGCGTTTTCAGAGATGCGTGTCATGGGGAGGGCTGAGAATCAGGCCCCCAGCAACATGCACGTCTCTGTTGCCCGCTCGCCTCTGCATAGTGTTACACGTCCGACCCTGCCGGGAGCGCTCGTCTCCTCCCATCTCACGTCTGCGTCTCTCTCCCCTCTTCGCTTTCAGGCCCCTCTCGGTCTCCTCAGCCAGACGCCAGAAAATCTGGGGACCCGGCTTGTCCAGAGATCAAAATCGAGCTGGAGAGATCGGAGCGGCACACACCCCACCTGGTGAGAGCGCCGCGGCCGGAGGAGGAGGGGAAGAGTGCGCAGGGCGCCCAGCAGAGACAGCTGGGGATGTGTACGTGCATCAGGGTGTCCCCTGCTTTCTCGGGCCTGGCCCCAGCTGAGGAGTGCCATGAGGGGGCCTCGGAGGAGCAGGCTGCTGTGCCTCCTCTGCGAGGAGCAGGAGACGAGGTCTCTGCCCCCGGGCGCTGTGGTTTGTATTAGGTTTGCAGGAGAGAAGCAGCAGAAATTCCACCCCCAAACACACACACGCACGTAAACACGTGCCCATGCATACACGTACACATATGCACACACACATGTCCGTGCACCTATACACACGTACATAAACGCATGCAAATGCATGAATGTATACATGCACATACCCATGCATGCACAGACACAGATGCACACACACATACGCATGCACAGATACAGATGCACGTACACATACACACGCACAAATGCATGCACACATGCACATACACATAGAAGTGTACACAGATGCATGCATGCACACACATTCATGCACACATATACACACAGGCACATGCACACACACTTACACACACATACAGGGCTCTGCAGGACAGAGTAGCTCATGAGCTGTGTCAGAAATACCAGCCCTAGGGCAATGGTTTGCCTCTTGCTCACTTCCCAGACAAGCCCAGAGCTTGTTAAAATTTTCCAAGCTGTCAATATTCCAGCCTTGAATTCCACTGATGTGTCGGCTAAAGGAGTGTGAGCACGAGGCCGTGCGGAGAGGAAGTCTTTCCACACGCCTCGCCCCCGACCCGTAGCAGTAACGGAGGTTTGGGCTCACTGTCGGAACAGTGCCAGATTTTTTTGCTCATCTCAAAATGTTTCTGAGTTTCGGTGATGTCCAAAATAGTGTCACTTTGACCCAGGTTGAAACGTTGCATTTTGGAATGAATTGAGGGTGTTTTGCTTTTAATCATGTGGAAGGACATTTGCAAACAAAAAGCTGTTCTGGATCTACTCGCCGCTTGTTTTGTAACACGAGGGGTTCAGCGAAGCCGGGGTGAGCTGTACGAGCTGGTCGGGTGTTGCCCTGGTGCATTATCCTGGCCCTGAAACTAGTTAGGTCTGAAATATTTTGCTCTAAGTCTCATGCCAGCAGTTCTGGGCATGGGGGCAGGGATGAGCAGCAGGAGACAGTTGCCCCCATGAGCAGCAGGCCCTGCTTTCTGTACAAATGTCAAGGCGACCTGGATGGACAGGGTTGCTATGGTCCCTGTAACACAGGTGCAGGATGGCACCGAGCTAAACCCTCTGGCCTTGCGCTGGGACGTGCAGTGTCTAGCCTCCTCGTCTCCGTCCCTGCCCGGTTCCTGCCGGAGGGAGGGGAGAAGCGGGTGTGGAGTGTGTGTCCCCGATGTTGTGGCTCCCCCTGGCTCCAATTAATGTCCTCCTCTTTGTGTGTCTGTCTGTGCAGAGCTGCTAGCCCTCCCTCCCCGGCCTCCGTGGATGCGCGCTCCTGCCAGGTCAGCACCGCCTCACTTCTGCCTGCTTCCCCCTCTTGGATTCAGAGCTGGGCACATTGGGCAGATGCTCCTGGCCACAGCAGCCTGCCAGGGAGGTGCTGACTGCCACGGGGCATGCACCGTGCATCCCTCAGCCCTCTGCAAGTGGGGCTACCGCACCATGTCCCTAGCCAGGGCTCGTACGCCCCAAATCCCCCCCAACCCCACCCCATGGGCATCTGCAGAGCTGGGCTGGCTCTTAGCCAGAGCCCAGCTGGTTTTGCCCTTGTCCCTGGATGTGCCCAGAACATGACAGCTTCATCTCTCCTCCCGGGCCCCTGGCATTAGGCACCGGGCCCCGGGCCCTGCCCAGCACCATGCAGCCTGCCTGAGCGGGTCATTCTGATATGTCCCTGCCAGTGCGAGGGCCAAGGACGTCCCAGACCGGGCCATGTGGCATTTCTTTCCACTTGTTGCCCTCCCTCCCTTTCTGCCCAGTAGCCCCAGTCCTGTGTCTGCCCACCCCAGCCCTGCCCTGTCTCTGTTCTCAGCCCTGGCTCAAAGGAGATGGAGTTGCAGGGGTGTTGGGGGACAGCTCTCTTGTGGTCCAGCCCAGCTACCTCCTGACCTGCTCCCCTTCTCCCGCAGCACCCACAGAAGAAGCACAAGCTGAAGGACTTGCGGAGGGTCCCGCTCTTTGTCACGGCAGACAGCCTCTGCCTCATCGCCAAAGCCAGCCTGCCGAAGCCTGCGTCCTAGACAGCTAGACCCACGCTCCCGCCTGCCTTCCCACTTCCAGGCTGGGCAGCAGTTTCCCTGCGGCGCGGAGAGCCCGGGAGCAGCGACGACATGCGAGAGGGACCCACCACCGCTCTCCTGCTCCCAAAGCTGCTGCGAGACCTTAGAAGCGGGTGGCAAAGACCCCGCTCCTCTCCTCCCCCACGACGCCCACCCATCATGCTCCCGACCCTGTCCCCAGCCCCCTGCCAGGTCCGATCACTGCACATTGCCGACGGGACTTGCAAACGAAGCCGGACACATCTCGCCCCTCCAGCTCTCACCTGCTGACCCGTGATGTGCCCTGCGGAGCTCTGGCCTGGCCAGTCCTCGGAGGAGCCCCGCCAGCAAGGAAGCCACATGCACCCAGGTGCCCACGACCACCAGGTGACACAGGACGGTAGAGCTGGGACTCATCCATGGCAGGACAATCCCCCTGGGCAGCTAGATCCAGCCTCCTCTAGGCACCACCTCCTCTGGGTGAGCTCTGCTCCCATCCCAGCCTCGGTCTAGCCGACGGCAGGTCTGGCTGGTCTCCTCTTGAGGTCCTTGCCAGGGCATTTCACCCCAGCCCTTTGCCATGCCCGTGTCCTGCCCAGAGAGCTCGCAGCCTGCAGGGGCAAAGGGATCGGCCAAGGGGAAAGGTGCTGTGCGGCAGCTTGGGTGAAGCAGACCTACCCAGTCCCATAGTCAGGGACACAGCAGCATCCAGGACTTCCCACGACCCTCTGTAGCCTTGAAACACCCTGCAGAGCTGGGGCCAGTTTGCAAGGCTCGGAAAAAGGGGGTGTCAGGTAGGTGCTCCCTCCCCGCTTGACCTGAGCCCCCAGCTCCTCCCCGTGGCTGCGCAGGCAGGGCAAGGCTGGCCCCGATCCCTGGAAGGCCGTTTACGGAGGCTATCGCGGCAGCTGATGCTCTGGGGATTGGGCTGCGGTAACCAAGACCCCATTCACCAGTTTCCCCCAGCAGAGCCCACACCACCCAGTCTCATCTTGTCAAACAAGGCCCCAAAGTCACGAGCCCAGCAGCAAGTGGGGGGGCTTTTGCCCCTGTCACAAGGGTCCCTGCACCCCAGAGAGACCCAGGCTGCTCTAATCCAGCGCCCGCCGCCCAAGGGAGTGACCCCAACCCAGGGGTCCCCAAAAGCCGGGGAGTGGAGGGCACCAGGGCCACAGGGCTCATGCCACCCTTTAGGGAAGGCATCTCCAGCTGCAGACGGCGCATCCCCCAGATATAGGACCAAAGGGGTGAAACGGGTGGGGTGAGGTAGCCAGGGACAGGAGTGGGGGCAACGCCTAGTGCAGAGGATCCCCGTGAGCTCCGGTTGGGAAAGGAAGGGTCACTGCAGCGTGTTCACGCGCCCCCAGCTCTGGGCAGGCATGGCACAAACACCCCCGGCCAGGGTGTGGGGGGCAGACACATTTATCCCAAAGAGCCGCTGTGCATTGACGAGACAATCCTGACGAGACCTGCCAGAGCCATAGGACTTAACCCCTGCAAGCCCAGCGGCCACGCAACCTCCCTCCAGCCGCCCATCCAGCTTCCCTGCACCAAACCAGGCACACAGCGTGTAGCAAAGCTGCCAGTCCACCCCGCCCTGGCACCGGCGAGACACTGAGCAGAGTTATTTGATGCAGGGTTTTCGGTGAGGGCCGTTGCTGCTTTCCCTCCTCTCTCCCCCCTGCAAAGTTTTCTTGCACAACTTCTGTTTTAATGAAGGATCAAACCAACCCCCAAGTTTCCAGCTTTTCCAGAACTGGGTTTTGCAACAAACAGGCTGAGTTTGTCACCAGAAAACAAACACATTTCTGTCTGTCATCCAAACCCGGAGAGCTGGCTTCCCCCAGCCTGGCAAGGGGCATTACAGGGCCTCCCAGGAGGTTGCTGGGGGAAGATCTTGATCCCAAAGGGCATTTCCCACCAAGAAAATGCTGCTGGTAAAGCCATTTGGTGGCTGTTGCATTAGCATTTGTTTTAAAGCCACTGCCTAGGGGCTCCTTGGCACCACACTGGGTGCCCCCATGGATAAGGCCATAGCCCTCCCAATGCGCTACAGAGCAGGGCCTCGTTCTCCAGTACATCACGGATTCAGAGGGTGGTCTGCTGCTGAGAGCACCCTGGGAGCCTGCTAGCAGCTAAAGCAGGATTACATGAATATATAGCCACGGGTACGATTAAATTTGGGGCTTTGTGTCGCATAATTGTAAAAAAAAACAAAAAACCCCACCCACCCATTCTCAATGGCTCCCCTCTGCCGGCAGGAAGGTACGGCTCCATGACATGTAAGTAACTTTTCAACTGCCTACTGTATGTGTAATACATCCCGCGAGCGTCTGGGATTCCTCTACGTCTGTGTTGTACTCATATTTTTTTTGAAGGCACAACATACGTTGAGTCAGATCCTAACTTAATGTTTGGACACTCGGGTTTTTCCCCCCCACTTTCTTTTTTTCTTTTTTTAAATCCGAGATGGTGTTTGTGTATCCAGTGACTGATGTATAAAATAAAGTTCTATTTATCGCTATTGTAAGAAGATTCTATTTGTAAAAATGCTTTTTAAGATATACAGGCTCAAAAAAGGAATAAACTGGAAAACCTGCGCTGCTCCTGGCTGGTTTGTGTGGCGGGGCAGGGGTGAGAGTAGGACGGTCTGAGCTGGCAAACACTCATCCCGATGCTCTGCGTGTTTTCGTTGCAAGCTATTAGTGCTGATGGTGCAGGGGGTCTCTTCTCCACCAGAACAAGTGGTGTCTCAGCGGTGGCAGGTGACAGGACAAGGAGCAATGGGCTCAAGTTGCAGCAAGGGAAGTTTAGGTTGGATATTAGGAAAAGCTTTCTCAATAAGAGGTAAAGCACCGAAACAGGTTACCCAGAGAGGTGGTGCAGTCTCCATCCTTGGAGGTGTTGAGGCCCCAGCTGGACAAAGCCCTGGCTGGGATGATGTAGTTGGGGCTGGTCCTGCTTGGAGCAGGGGTTGGACTAGATGTGACCTCTTGAGCTCCCTTCCAGCCCTCATCGTCTATGATTTTAAGCAGAATTATTTCCCTGTCCAATTTTAGTAGCAATTTGACCTGGAGACTTTAAATATGCAGCCAACGCCCATCCGGCTGGACCCCTCCCCAGCCACGTAGCCGTCTGCCTCCCCCTTTACCTTGTCTTTAGGTTTCTTCTCTCTCCAGACACTGATGAGGGTTTTCCTATCCAGGCGCGTGCCCCTGTACTTGTCTTCAGTCTGGTACTCCACGTCGGTGGTGTTCCTGGGGAACATGTACTTCCTGCCGCCGCCCATGATCACCTGGAGGAGGACACCAAGAAGAACCCGATTGCAATCGCATGCAACGTGGAAAGGAGCTGGTGGAGACTGACGGGGAGAGGGAAGGGAGGACTGCCTAGATGTGTTGCACGGGGTAGCGATTTGCACAGCAGCTCCTCACCATGGCTTTCACAGGGCACGTGGGGCTCACCAGCTCACTGAATGGGCCCAGCTGGAATGGGGGCAGATGGGAGGTGGGCACCAGAGGTAAAAGGTTGCTATGAGGGTCTGCGCGTGTGCTTTCAGCCACCTGCAGCCGGGTCAGAGCTAGGCACTGTGCCTCCACAAGTCTGGACTGGACCAGGGCTGCACTGGTGGGGGGAGAGATGCTGGTGAGGGTCAGCCAGCATGCTGGTGTCCATGCCGGGGGACGGGCAGGCTCTGCAAAGCAGCTGTGCATGGCCCTGCTGCAAGCACCATGCCCTCAACCCAGGCCTGCAGTCACTGGCGGAGTGAGCAGCAAGAGCCCCGTTCGGTGCCAAGTCAGCCCTGCCCACGGCTAGAACAAGGTGGGCAATATAGGGGCCATGGACCCAATGCAGCCAGGATGCCACACTGAACAGTGGCACAGCTCTGGGGTTTGTGTGGTCCCATATTGTCATTATCTGTGCCCCTGTAGGCCCCTGGCTCCCCTCTGTGCCCACTGCCTGACAGTGGCTCTGTGCCCTCCTGCCCCTTCAGCGCCATGCTGCCCAAAAAAAGCCAGTACTGTGGTGCTGCAACATCTCCCCTGATCCCATCCCCCACAAAGGACCTCACTGTGCTGCTACCCGAACACGGGCCATGGAGCTGGCCCTGGCTAAGCCTGCTTCCGCTCTCCCCAAAACCTCACTGCAAGGAGCCACAGCTGCTCCAGTCATAGCAGGCTGGTCAAAAAAATCAATTAGTTATAAAAGGATTCACTTTCCATAATTGCAAGGAGCATTAAATGAACTCCTTATGACGAGATGGATAGAAGTGAGCAGCAAGCTGCTGGTTTCCATCCAGATGAGCCAGCTGTGGAAGAACCACATTTCACCGAGATACGTGAGGCAATCTGATGTGCCAGAATAACAGAGCATCACTGTTCATGCTCCTCCCTACAGCCTATAAAACCTGCTTTCATATTAGATCTACCTCTTGCATGGAGCAGGCAGTAGGAGAAGGCCCACTGTCCATCTGAGTCAGGAACTGGGAGAAAACCATTCGACTGTAATCAGACTTCACATCCAAGCTTCCTAGATCTTAAAAAAAGCAACTGATAACATCATGAGATGGTGTCGGGACTGCAAAATATGATGGTTGGCGTCCCTGATAACTTTATTTGGTTGGTACTACTGGGTGTTTGTAATTCCAAAATCAGAGTGGCAAGTAGGCAGTGAAGTCTCTGCCAGGTCTGACACCAGTGGCAGGGAGATAAGTTATCTCGAGTGCTCTTTAATGACAGCATAGAAGAAGTGGTTTGATCGTTGCAAAATTCTCAGGGAAAGGTACAGTCAAATGGCTTATACTGTTTTTTGTATGTGCTTATGTTATAGCTACTGGAAGACAGCAGTCACGGTACAGAGGATGGCTCGAACCTTGAGGAAAGCAGCAAGAAAAAGAAAAGGAACTGAGGATCTATTAAAACCAAACCATGGTTGTGAGCTAGTGAGGTCTTAGACTGCTTATCTAGCAATTAGTGCACATTAGGTCAATTAATTAGGCGCTAGGAACAATAATTACAGATAAAGGTTTGAGGAAGTACAAAATTAAAGCACAAACAGAAGAGCAGTAAGGACAATGAGGGGCCAGGGAGTTGTAGTGATCACTGGGTTTGGTAAATGCAGACATACACTGCATGAGAAGAACTAGACAACAGGCTTGAACTGTGGCGCAGAAGGCAACCTCTGCAAACACTTTATCTCTAGGCCGTGGCAGCACGGAGGAGCTGGCTCGGAGCATCTCCAGGGCAGTCAGGTTCCCAAGGGTGAGTGGAAGGGGGCTTGGGGTCAGACGGAGCAGAACGGGGGTCTGGATTCCTGCTTTCACGCTGCCCCCCATCCTGTGCGACCAAGGACCCCTACTTCCCCTCTGCGTCCCCTTGGTGAAGACACTGGGAGACTGTCACATGACAGCACTACCTGCCCAAAGTGCTGGGTACCAATATGTCAAATGGAGGGAGGACAAAGTGGGGGGGCACAAAGGGTTTCTGTACAGCCCAGTAGACATCCCTGCGGGCTTCCCTGCCCAGCTGTCAGCGCGCGGAGCTGCGCTGGGACAAGGGGCTCGGGCTGGGCCAGCGCAGACCACAACCACCGGCCGCAAGCAGGTGAAGCATGGACTAGGGCTCGGGCAAGGCCATTGCACAGCCTGGAGCCTTCCACCAGGGCTGCGGCGGGCTGCCCGCCCCCACCGCCCGGGCCGCCCCCGGCGCGGGC